GAAGGAAACAAATTGGAACTTTATTTCAAGCAACATGTATTTTGAAATTAAATCAAATTAACCTTAAAATATTCCTTTCAGCACAACCTCATGATAGTTATATTTGGTAATAATACCCTGTGCATGTAATCCTTAAGGCCTTACTTCATTACATGGGTAGGGCTTGCGCTAATCCATTTCATGACGGCATGCATAGGCGTAGGCTCCCCTTGTCGCCTGCTTCCCTCCCGCCACTGTTGTGGTTCAGTGCAGTTAGAAAGCACTAGTTGCACCACTGGTGTTTAAATCATTTAGAGTCTATGATGCACCCCAATTTAAGTAACATAATAAAAAAATCCCCATCAAAATCTGTCAATTTAAGCTAGAGATATCTGTTTCAATATGTGTCTCAATATGCCGCATTCGCCTATGTCGGCCTTCCGCATCTGCGGTGGAAGATGGCCGAGCTACAGCGGTGTTTGTCAGACCATGAAACATCCCGAAATTCGGTCTACTCATAAAAACTTCTGTAGCCTCTGAACGTTTTGGCCTATGACCACTCTATGGACACGATGGTGTTCTCCGTTTTGCTGTACGACCCCCACAAGTGTCACGGGACTCGTCTGAATTCGGTAACGCTGATGTGCCAACTTCTGTCTGTAGCGTCCAAACCGTTTGGGGCTATAAATGAATATGACCCTTCTATGGAAAGATGAGACTCTCACGAACACGATGGTGTTTTTCTCTATGACCCCCACAAGTGTCACGGGACTCGTCTGAAGGTAACCCATACAAATCAATGGAAGTATGGAGGTAGTTTTGTGCCAACAAAAATAAGGGGTTAAATATGTGTCCAAAAAAGAAAATTCCAGAGCTTTCTTACATCTCCTAGATGTAGGACAGACACTTCAAAACCTTATTCCATATGATTTATTTTAAAATAAAACAGCTCTGCTTTGCTTGTTAAGTAATATCGACTAAATAAGCCATTTCTATCCTTGTAGCATCAAATATATATATGCTGCTGAGACAGGTTTTAAACATGTTAATGGTGACACTGTGACAGTGCTTCCCCCCCAAAAAAATCCATGTCTGAGGTAGGGATGGGCATCCTCGACGCACATCAAAACTCGTTCTTTAAACAGAGATTTTTAAAAATTAAAAATACTGTAAAACCATTTGGTGGAATGTGTTTTTCATTAATTGTATTATTTTTATCTTAAAGACAACTTTAATTTGCTTTGACTCTAGTGTTCCATAGGCCTAAATATGCATTTGCCGGACTCAACAAAAAATAAACAAAGCCCCCAAGCATCATGCAATTCTTCTCCCTAAATTCCCTTTACCCTCTGTGTCTCACTCACTCAATTGCGTTCTGACTGCTCCTCTACACATGCGTCCTGAGTGCGCACACAAGCTTCCGTTAGGTCTACAGAAATAAATGCCTATAAAAGCGTATGTAACTGATGGGATACACATTCCTTGCCAAATGATGACATTTTTATCACAAATTCAAAATGGACTGGTTGATTAAAGTAAGGAAATATGTGTTCCAATAACGAGCTGCAGTTTTGGAATAATTGCGTTGAGTCTATTTTCCGCTTAGGCTATTTTGCGAACTGCTAGTGCCATTTAGATTTGGTTAGCTTAGGGCAAGGCTATAACCCCCCCTAAACAAATTCCATACTGAAAATATGCAAAAACATTTGTTTGATAAAGACAAAGAGCGTATTTTCATCAGAATCATTAAGCCTACGCCTACTCACCAAACATATGTTGTGGCCGTAATTCATCACCATGCAGTGTTCAATGTGGAATTGTCCATTTAGAAAATTCCAAAGAACATGCAGAATAAACTAAATCGAACGTCTGTATATCGAAAAGAACCCTGACAATTTTTTTATTTCAACTCGCCAAATTGTGCCCCGTTTCAAATGATCTCAAATAACTGTTCCAGTAGCGAGGTGGCATCACTTCGATGCACATCACTTCGCACTGGCAACTTTTTTCATTTGGAGTAGATGTCAGTTGGCTTTTCATAGCCGAGCATTCAGAGGTCGAGACAGCAGGTGCGGTAGAGAGGGAGCGAGAGGGTCGAAAACAGAAGGTCCGGGACAAGGTATAGAGAGCGAGAGAGAGAGAATTTGAGGGAGCATACTGAAGTTCACACAGGACACCAGATAAGACAGGAGAATTACACCAGATTGGACAGACTGACCCTAGCCCCCCGGCACATAGGCTATTGCAGCATAGATACTGGAGACTGAGATGGGGAATCGGGGGACACTGTGGCCCCGTCCGACAATACCCCTGGACAGGGCCAACCAGGCAGGATATAACCCCACTCACTTTACCAAAGCACAGCCCCCACACCACTAGAGGGATATTAACAGACCACCAACTTACTACCCTGAGACAAGGCTGAGTAAAGCCCACAAAGATCTCCCCCAACGCACAAGCCCGAGGGGACGCAAAACTGGACTCAACCCACTCAAGTCGAGTATAGTGAAAAAAAGCCTGGCACGACGTGATGCACACCTCCTAGGAACAGCATGGGAGAGCCCTAGTAAGCCAGTGACTCAGCCCCCATAATAGGGTCAGAGGCAGAGAATCCTAATGCAGAGAGGGGGGCCAGCCGTTCACCTTCGCACCCCTGAGCCAGACTACACTCAATCATAGGACCTACTGAAGAAATGAGTCTTCAGTAAAGACTTAAAGGTCGAGATCGAGTCTGCGTCTCTCATATGGATAGGCAGACCATTCCATAAAAATTGAGCTCTATAGGAGAAAGCCCTGCCTCCAGCTGTTTGCTTAGAAACTCTAGGGACAATAAGAAGGCCTGCGTCTTGTGACCGTAGCGTACGTGTAGGTATGTACGGCAGGACCAAATCAGAGAGATGGTCTATGTAATACTTTGTAGGTTAGCAATAAAACCTTGAAATCAGCCCTAGCCTTAACAGGAAGAGCCTAGCACTGGAGTAATATGATATAATTGTTTGATTCTAGTCAAGATTCTAGCAGACGTATTTAGCACTGAAGTTTATTTAGTGCTTTATCCAGGTAGCCAGAGAGTAGAGCATTGCAGAAGTGACAAAAGCATGGATTAGCTTTTCTGCATCATTTTTGGACAAAACGTTTCTGATTTTTGCAATGTTAGTTACGGAGATGGAAAAAACGCTGCCCTTGAAATAGTGTTGATATGTTCGTCAAAAGAGAGATCAGGGTCCACAGTAACGCAGAGGTCCTTCACAGTTTTATTTGAGACGACTGTACAGCCATCAAGATTAATTGTCAGATCCAACAGCAGATCTCTTTGCTTCTTGGGACCTAGAACTAGCATCTCTGTTTTGTCCGAGTTTAAAAGTAAAACATTTGCCGCCATCCACTTCCTAATGTCTGAAACACAGGCTTCCAGGGTAGGCAATTTTGGGGCTTCACCATGTTTCATCGAAATGTACAGCTGTGTGTGGTCCGCATAGCAGTGAAAATTGAAATTGTGTTTCCGAATGACATCACCAAGAGGTAGAATATATAGCGAAAACAATAGTGGTCCTAAAACTGTCGGCCTTGCATTAAAGAACATAATTGGTTAAGGAAAACTGTGATAAATAAAAAAGTATATCAGTTTCATTTAAGGACCAAAGGATTGACAGCCGTCCTATATAGATTGCAAAATAGTTGGGAAGAGATTTTTGACGTACCGATCCCATGGCATAGTGTTTATGAACTGATATGCAAAACGACACCGGATTCAAAACTTTGAATCTTTCAATTTAAATGATTATATAAAATTCTTGCTACCAATAGAATGTTATTTATATGGGAGATACAATCTTCCCAGCTCTGCAGATTTTGCTGCAAAGAGACAGAATCATTAGATCATTTGTTTTGGTACTGTCCATTTATAGCCTGTTTTTGGACACAGGTCCAGGAATGGCTAAAGGATTGCAATATTTACCTGGAGCTAACCCTGCAGATAGCACTACTGGGTGATCTGAAAAGTCATAGTCAATCGATCAATAACATAATAATACTATTAGCAAAAATGTTTATTTTCAATTCACAATCTGTAGAAACAATGAGACAGTACATTTGAAATATATATGGCAAATAGAAATCCTATGTGGATTGTGTTAAAAGATAGATGGGAGGTGTTGAATGGAATTGAAGAATGGGACTAATAACAACTAACAACAAACAATAACAAGATAACTAATAATGTAGGCACGCTGTGTCCATAATAAGTGTATGGGTTGTAGGTTGGGAGCTTTTGTGAAGGAGCACAGTTAGAAAGATATGGCATACAGAAGCAAACTGGATGGACATCATGAAAATGATCGGAGAGGTTGAGAGTAGAAGAAGTTCAGGAGAAAGAACAAACAAAATGTAATTATTGTAGAATTGGCTGTGTCCATAAGATGTGGATGGTGGGTATGGGCTGGAAGTAGAGGCCTAGGTGTTGTTGTTCACTAGTTTACTCCAAGTGGGGAAGTGGTGGCAGGGTTGGAAAGTAATAAAGGGGAATATATATATTTTTTAAAGGTGTGTGTATGTATGTATGTGGGTGTGTATGTGTGTGTGTATGTGTATGTGTATGTGTGTGTGTGTATGTGTATATATATATATATATATAAATAAATAAAACATGGGGGATTGGAAGTGATGCAGACAATTACATTGATGGAAGTTGCAATATTAAGCTGATCTAATATTTTAGTAAAACAATAGTAATCATGGTTCCACATAGAACCATCACCCTTACCAAAGAACCCTTAAAGAACACTTTTGTCTAAGTGTGTAGCCTGGGTACCAGTCTGTTTGTGCCATCATGCCACTCCTTCTCATGCAAAACTGTTTGGCATGACAAGGAGTGGCAAGTAGTAGAATGATAGCACAAACCGATCTGGGACCGGGCTAAAGAACATCTGCTAAATGAGCAAAATGTAATGTAATGAGAGGGCTTATAGTTCTCCACAAAATCATAGGGAGTAGAGCCAAGTGGAATTGGGCGATTCTCTAAAATGGTCCCGTCTTTGCACCCTCAGTTCCGCTACAAGGAAGCCTTTGTGAAGGAGAAGGGCCAGCAGGTGGGGCTGCTCAGTGTCGAGGATGACCCAAAGATGGTGCACTCCCTGGCTGCCAGCAAGCTCCAGAGCAGCCAGGGGTACAAGAGGCAGGCTCAAGAGACGCGCTCCCAGTTTAAGATGCATGCCGACCAGCCTGAGTTCCAGCAGGCCAAGAAGAGCCAAGCTCTGGCCAGCAACCAGACCTACCGCCAGAGGCTCCATGACTACACATTTGACTCCCAGCAGCTCAACGTCCAACACGCCAAGCAGGCCTACAAGCTGCAGAGTGACGTGAGTGGACACGGGTGTGTGTGTGCGTGATTGTGTGTGTGTGTGTGTGGGGGGGCTGTTTGTTAAACAAATCGAAAAAGTGTTAAATCAAAATATATTTTATATTTGAGATTCTTCAAAGTTGACACCTTTTGCCTTGATGACAGCTTTGCACACTCTTGGCATTCTCTCAACCAGCTTCATGAGGTAGTCACCTGGAATGCATTTCAGTTAACAGGTGTGCCTTGTTAAAAGTTAATTTGTGGAATTTATTTCCTTCTTAATGCGTTTGAGCCAAATAAATTGTGTTGTGACCAGGTAGGGGTGGTATCCAGAAGATAGCCCTATTTGGTAAAAGACCAAGTCCATATTATGGCAAGAACAGCTCAAATAAGCAAAGAGACGAGTTTCAGAAGAAAGTTATTTGTTTCTGGCCATTTTGAGCCTGTAATCGAACCCACAATTGCTGATACTCCAGATACTCAACTAGTCTCAAGAAGGCCTGTTTTATTGCTTCTTTAATAAGCACAACCGTTTTCAGCTGTGCAAAAACAATTGCAAAAGGGTTTTCTAATGATCAATTAGCCTTTAAAAATGATCAACTTGGATTAGCAAACACAACGTGCCATTGGAACACAGGACTGATGGTTGCTGATAATGGGCCTCTGTACGCTATGTAGATATTCCATTACAAATCAGCTGTTTTCAGCTACAATAGCCATTTACAACATTAACAATGTCTACACTGTATTTCTGATCAATTTGATGTTATTTTAATGGACAAAAAAATTGCTTTTCTTTCGAAAACAAGGACATTTCTAAGTGACCCCAAACTTTTGAACAGTAATGTATATTGATTTGTTTAACACTTTTTTGGTTACTACATGATTCCATATGTGTTATGTCATAGTTTTGATGTCTTCACTATTATTCTACAATGTAAAAAAAATATTAAAAAGAAAAGAAAAACCCTTGAATGAGTAGGTGTGTCCAAACTGTTGACTGGTACTGTATATACACTGAGTGTATAAAACATTAGGAATACCTTCCTAATATTGAGTTGTGCCCCCTCCCCCCCCCCCCCCCCCCACGGGGTCTGTTGCAGGTGGACTACAAGTCAGATCTGAACTGGATCAGGGGTGTGGGCTGGACCCCACCTGGCTCTCATAAGGTGGAGATGGCCCGGCGGGCTGCAGAGCTGGGTCTGAGGGAGGGAGTGAGCACTGAGGAGGCCATTGCCCAGTACCATCACATGATGATGGTGAGAGAGAGACATTACAAAATACAGCATGCTTTTCTGTATATAATCATAATAATTGCATATTATATTGTATGCAGTAAAGATGACTATCTGTTCATGGCTCGGTGCGTCTAGACATGGTATTATTCACATTGAGACCCAGGTCATATTGAGACCCAGGTACCAATATTTTGGGTACCAAAAATATCTGCAGCATTGAAGATCCCCAAGAACACAGTGGCCTCCATTATTCTTAAATGGAAGAAGTTTGGAACCACCAAGACTCTTCCTAAAGCTGACCGCCCGGCCAAATTGAGCAATCGGGGGAGAAGTGCCTTGGTCAGGGAGGTGACCAAGAACCCGATGGTCACTGACAGAGCTCCAGAGTTCCTCTGTGGAGATGGGAGAACCTTCTAGAAGGACATTCATCTCTGCAGCACTCTACTAATCAGGCCTTTATGGTAGAATGGCCAGACGGAAGCCACTCCTCAGTCAAAAGGCACATGACAGCCCGCTTGGAGTTTGCCAAAAGGCACCTAAAGGACTCTCAGAACATGAGAAACAAGATTCTCTGGTCTAATAATAATAATAATAATAATAATAATAAAGATTGAACTCTTTGGCCAAGATTGAACGCCACCCAAGTCAGACTGTTCTCTCTGCAACCGCATGGCAAGTGGTACCGATGCACCAAGTCTGGAACCAACAGGACCCTGAACAGCTTCTACCCCCAAACCATGACACTTCTAAATAGTTAGTCCGGGTAGCTATTGGTTATCTATTTAACTATCTGCACTGACCCTTTTTGCACTAACTCTTTTGACTCATCACATACGCTGCCGCTACTGTTTATTATCTATCCTGTTGCCTAGTCACTTTATCCCTACCTATATGTACATATCTACCTCAATTACCACGTACCTCTGCACATCGACTCCGTAGTGGTATCCCGTGTATATAGCAGAGTTATCATTACTCATTGTGTATTTATTCCTTGTGTTATTATTTTTATATTATTTTTCTTTTTTTACTGTTGGGAAGTAAGCATTTCACAGATCTACCTGTTGTTTACGAAGCATGTGACAAATACAATTTGATTTGATTTTATGATTTGATTTGAACTACCACTTATCAGACTTGCTTTCAATGAGAATGACAGACCTAATACTCACAATTCTATCTGAAATGAGTCGGGTCATACACAAAACGACATATTGAAGGTGTAAACACGCCCAAACTCTCTTTTCATCCATCAGCTCCAGCACCAGCAGCAGATGGAGGAGCAGCAGCAGGCGTCAGAGCAGGTTGAGACCAGCAAGGAGTTCCAACAGTCGGGAGTCAATCTAGATGCCATGGAGATCCTCCACGTCAAGAGGAAGAAGACCATCCAAACGGTGAAGAAGTCCACTACCACTTCCTCCTCCTCCATGGATAGCAGCGTCAAGAAGTTAATGATGGCTTCCAGCTCAGCCACTGCCTCAGCCATAGAGTCAATGATGGCTTCCGCCTCTGTCTCAGCCATCGAGGACACAGTCAAGACGTCCACAACGAGTGAGGCATCGGCCATAGAAAATGCTTAGACAATGTTGTGAGAAGGTGTTGCCTTAGGGCACGTATCAAACTCATTCCACGGAGGGCCTAGTGTCTGCGGGTTTTCAGTCCTCCCTTGTAATTGATTGATGAATTAAGGTCCCTAATTAGTAAGGAACTGCCCTCGTCTAGTTGTCTAGGTCTTAATTAAAAGGAAAAAACTAAAACCAGCAGACACTAGGCCCTCCATGGAATGAGTTTGACACCCTTGCCCTAGGGGGTAGGTGGAAGTTGCCCCTAACCTCTGATATAGGGTCAGGTCTTTTTTCATTCACCTGATGGTTGAAGTAAGGGATTGGAGTTGGATTATCTGATCCTAGATCTATTAAGGGCAACTTCTACCCCAATATGCAATTAGAGAATGTTGTAAGGGAACTGTGCATGTAGAATCAGGAAGGGAGTTGAAAAGTGCTGTGAGTGGTTTATGTTGAAGGGTACTTCATTACGCATTCATAACCCTTACACAACATTCATAAGTATATGAGTATGTCATAATTATGGCAAGTTTATATTTTTGTTACAGTGCCTTCAGAAAGTATTCATACCCCTTGACTTATTCCACATTTTGTTGCGTTACAGCCTGAATTCAAAATGTATTAAATAGATTTTTTTCCCTCACCAATCTACACACAATACCCCATAATGACAAAGTGAAAAAATGTTTTTAGAAATGTTTGCGAATGTATTGAAAATGAAGTACAGAAATATCTCATTTACATAAGTATTCACACCCTGAATCAATACTTGTTAGAAGCACCTTTGGCAATGATTACAGCTGCGAGTCTTTCTGGGTAAGTCTGACTGATTCCACATTTTGTTGTGAATTCAAAATGGATTAAATTGATTTTTCTTTTCAACCATCTATACACAATACCCCATAATGACAAAGTGAAAACATGTTTATAGACATTTTTGATTAAAAAAACAAACATGAAATACAGAAATATCTCATTTACATAAGTAGTCACACCCCTGAGTCAATACTTTGTAGAAGCAGCTTTGGCAGAGATTACAGCTGTGAGTCTTTCTGGGTAAGTCTCTAAGAGCTTTCCACACCTGGATTGTGCAACATTTGCACATTATTATTTAAAAAATTCTTCAATTTCTGTCAAGTTGGTTGTTGACCATTGGTAGACAGCCATTTTTAAGTATTGCCATAGATTTTAAAGCAGACTTAACTCAAAACTGTAACTAGGCCACTCAGGATCATTCAATGTCGTCTTGGTAAGCAACTCCAGTGTATATTTGGCCTTGTGTTTTACGTTATTGTCCTGCTGAAAGGTGAATTTGCCTGCCAGTGTCTGTTGGAAAGCAGCCAGAACCAGGTTTTCCTCTAGGATTTTGCCTATGCTTAGTTCTATTCGGTTTCCTTTTATCCTAAAATAATTCCTAGTCCTTGCCGATGACAAACTTGCGCATATCATGATGCAGCCACCACCATACTTGGAAATATGAAGAGTGGTACTCAGTGATGCGTTGTGTTGGATTTTCCCCAAACATAACACTTTGTATTCAGGACATAAAGTTCATTTCTTTGCCACATTTTTTACAGTTTTACTTTAGTGCCTTATTGCATGTTTTGGAATATTTTCATTCTTTACAGGCTTCTTTTTTTTCACTCTGTCATTTAGGTTAATATTGTGGTGTAACTACAATGTTGTTGATCCATCCTCAGTTTTCTCCTATCACACCCATTAAACTCAGTAACTGTTTTAAAGTCACCATTGGCCTCATGGTAAAATCCCTGTGCGGTATCCTTCCTCTCCGGCAACTGAGTGAGGAAGGACACCTGTATCTTTATAGTGACTGGGTGTATTGATACACCATCCAAAGTGTAATTAATAACTTCACTATGCTCAGCGGAATATTCAATGTCTGCTTTTTTTTTTTTTTTTACCCATCTACCATTGGAAAACCTCCCTGGTCTTTGTGGTTGAATCTGTGTTTGAAATTCACTGCTCGACTGAGGGACCTTACAGAATGGTATGAGTGGGGTATGTATGTGTGGGGTAGTCATTCAAAAATCATGTTAAACAGTATTATTGCACACAGAGTGAGTCCATGCAACTTATTACACTGAACAAAAATATCAACACAACATGTAAAATGTTGATACCATGTTTCATGAGCTGAAATAAAATATCTCAGAAATTTTCCATACGCACAAAAAGCTTATTTCTCTCAAATTCTGTGCACATATTTGTTTACATACCTGTTAGTGAGCATTTCTCCTTTGCCAAGATAATCCATCCACCTGACAGGTGTGGCATATCAAGAAGCTGAATAAACAGCATGATCATTACACAGGTGCACCTTGTGTTGGGGACAATAAAAGGTCATTCTAAAATGTGCATTTTTGTCACACAACACAATGCCACAAATGTTTTGAGGGAGCGTTGAATTGGCATGCTGACTGCAGGAATGTCCACCAGAGATGTTGCCAGAGAATTGAATGTTCATTTCTCTACCATAAGCCAGCTCGTTTTAGAGAACTTGGCAGTACGTCCAACAGGCCTCACAGCCGCAGACCACGTGTAGGCGTCGTGTTTGCTAATGTCAACATTGTGAACAGAGTGACACATGGTGGCGGTGGGGTTATGGTATGGGCTGGCATAAGCTACGGCCAATGAACGCAATTGCATTTTATCAATGGCAATTTGAATGCACAGAGATACTGTGACGGCCCCATGTCGCAAGGATCTGTACACAATTCCTGGAAGCTGAAAATGTCCCAGTTCTTATATGGCCTGCATACTCACCAGACATGTCACCCATTGAGCATGTTTGGGATGCTCTGGATTGACGTGTACGACAGTGTGCTCCAGTTCCCGCCAATATCCAGCATTTTCGCACAGCCATTTAAGAGGAGGAGTGGGACAACATTCCACAGGCCACAATCAACAGCCTGATCAACTCAATGCGAAGGGGATGTGTCGCACTGCATGATGCAAATTGTGGTCACACCAGATACTGACAGGTTTTCTGATCAACGCCCCTATCTTTTTTTAGGGTATCTGTGACTATCTGTATTCCCATTCATGTGAAATCCATAGATTAGGGCCCAATGCACGTATTTGAATTGACTCATTTCCTCATATGAACTGTAACTCAGTAAAATCGTTGAAATTGTTGCATGTTGCGTTTATATTTTTGTTCACTATATGTGACTTGTTAAGCACATTTTTTACTCCTGAACGTATCCAGGCTTGCCATAACAAAGGGGTTGAATACTTATTGACTCAAGACATTTAATCTTTTCATTTTAAATTAACATTTATAAAAACATAATTCCACGTTGACATTATGGGGAATTTATTGTGTGTAAGCCAGTGACACAAAATCTAAATTTAATACATGTTAAATTCTGGGTGTAACACAACAAAATGTGGAAAAAGTGAAGGGGTGTCTACTTTCTGAAGGCACTGTATGTTACAATAATGATCCTATGTCAACTTGCATTCATGAAATGCAATGAAATTGTTATTTTGTACGACATGGATGCGTTGTGTATGGCTTATGAATGTGTCATGAAGCCCATATTTTGTTACCCTTCAAATCAAGTAAAGTGTTAAAGGAGAGGGAGAAAGAAATATAATGTAGAGAGTGCTTCGAGAAAGTGTGGTTTTTGCTTTGTGTGTGAGGCTTTTTTTTTCCTACCCTCGCTCCGCTTGTTGATATTAGATATTATGCACATTGATAGCTTGCTAGCAAATGTCCACGCGAACGGATTTATCATAGTAGCTAGCAGCAGGCAGTAGGAATCGAAATGATCCGGGTAAAACAACGGAGTAGAAGAGACCAGTGAAATTATCAAGTGATGAAGAGCAAGTGAATGGAGATACAGCTGCGCACTATCCAATCGTCGCAGCAGGATCAATCTACAGCCCACCCATTTCTTTACAGACAGCAAAACTAGCCAGTTGAGTTATTTAGAGCGCACAGTACTTAGCACTGTTTGAGTAACATGAGAGCGATGTGTGCTGGATAATAATAAATAATAATTGTATCATAATCGTATTCGGAAAATTCTCCATATCTGTTACAACATATGCCGAGTACTGGACAAAAACCTTTTTGTCCGAGTACTCGGCACACCCCTATATCCGCATGTGTTAGAGAATGGTGGACTAGTGACAGCTCCACAACAGCTGCAGAGAAAACAAATGACTATATTTAATCGTTAATTTTTTTATATTTATTTGAGCATACAGATGTTGCAGGTACAAGTTAATTACGGCTGTCTAACAATTAAAAATAATTAATTGAGTTAATGGGTTCGTTTTTGAATTTGGTCAATTTTGCCCTAAAGAAAGATGTTTTCATTTCAAAAGCAGTGCATTGAGTTACAGGCATACCATGCTTTGATTGTTAGGGTCGGAAAGAACATTATCTACATACAAATGTTTTCACAGCCTTTTCATACAGCTATTAATGCTCCCAAGTAGGCCTACTCCCCGTTATCAATGTTCTTCAAGTTTAATTTGCGCATAGCAAAGAGAGAGAGAAATATCTCTCTCTCTCACACACACAAACACACACAGCTTTAAGAACTGTTAAAGCTTCAGACATTCTAAATGTGTGAAATGGATACAAAGAACGAAGAGCTTTTAAACTTGTCCAACAATTTTATGAAAACACTGTAACCATCTGTACTGTTCAGATAACTTTACACACATAGGCCTACACACATTTCCTCCCTCCCACACCCTCTCTCTCACTTACTCCGCTCACTTACACACACGATCATACACACCCCACTCTTGCATATGCCGCTTACCTTTGAAGCATCTCTTTGAGTAGCGTATTTCTTTTCAGTTCTTCCTGTGCCATCTAAATGTGTGCATAGCCTAGTCAGTGGTCAAGTTATCAGGTTGCTAGGTAACATGACTAGCTAGCTAAACAATGTTGTTTGTTATCAAACCAAAATATAGCAGCTCGTGAGTAGTTTAAAAAAGGCCCCGACTTGCACACGAATCCTCGGCAGAAAGAA